CGATTGCCGCCCCCTTAAACATGTTCAAAAACAAGAATGCTGAATTCAACTGGACATCAGAATGCCAATAAGCTTTCGACACGTCAAAACAGAAATTGTCACTAAATAAAGAGTTACCAGCAGACTGCCACATTCTTCACCGAAATCTCTCAACCATAGTTTTGATTTTCTTTGTATCCAACCCTGTGGATGAACTTAAGATCAGACCCTTTCGATGTTGTTCTGAAGATAAGAATATAAATGTAAATGTAAGCTTTTCCTTGTTATCCACGAACAGTTTGATCAATTTGTCAGAGTGGAAAGGATTATAATGCAGGTCACTAACACGGTCTTACATTCATGATTGTTAGATTGTAGATACTTCTTGATCTCGTGGCCAAGACAATGACTGAAAACTGTTGTAATGGCTCAAATTCTTGCAAACTACCAGTTTTCATGATCCTAGAAAAACTCGCTCTCTGATAATTCATGGATAAATTACTCTTCGAGCAGTGCATATTGTAGTCTTTGTTGAGTTCTACAAAACAAATTCTGTCGATTTCTAGCATCGATTTTTCAGCCGATCACAAATCCTACGTTCGATTTTGATTTCGGTCACGATCGGATTAATTTATGTGAAAAGAGTCTGTTCTTTCCCTCATCCAGTAAAAAATGATCTCTTTTAGATTAAAATTATAGAAAATGGCTCAAGCACTCAATTTTCCCGACAAGTATTACATCATTTGGCTCGATGCACATATTGGAGACCCTAAATTCTGTATTCCACTCAAACGCGCCTTTTTCACACACGTTGATCCAGACAGCTATCAAGAAGTTTGCCTTTCTGAAAAAGATATTAACACTATTATTGATTGCCAATCTGAAGTTCCTGTGAACTTTGACAGTTTCCATTTTACACTGAAGGCTTTTACTGAAGAAGAGCCGTGTCTAAAATATGTTGCCGAAATTCAGAACCATCGGATTTTGTTCATCGCTTCCAGTACGCTTGGGGAATCGGCCGTTGAAAAATTGCTCAACCTTTACCCTAAATCCTTCACTAACGCCAGAACCACAGAACCATACGATTCAATTTATATTTTCTGTACTGATACTGGAAAAGCCGCGCAGTGGGCAGCTCCACACTATGAATATGTTAAAATCTTCAGTTTTGAGGCCGATCTTTTGACGCGATTGACAAAAGATCTGGGAGAAGAATTCCTCAACCATGGGCAAGAATTGCTGGCAGCAAATCAGATCGATGCAGCTGATGAACGTCTAACCTGGGCCAAGAGTCTTTTTATCCGTCATGATAAATTGAAATTTATCCCGCAACCGACGCAGTCGCCAGCAAGCGTCAGCACGGATAAACAACAGGAAAAAATCTGTGACTTTCAGCCTACATCGAATCAGCAGGGAAAACCAAGTGAAAAATTGATAGAGATCGACAGGCTTTTAGCAGAGGTGCACGAACGAGTAAAACAACGACGACAAGATAATGACCTGGATCATGTAAGTAACGTTAGGAACAGATGCAACTACTGATTGTTTCGTAGAACAGCATGCATAGCTAAAGTGGAAGTCAAATCTACCATCAGTGAAACATAGCTAGGAAGCCGCTGAACCATAAATAGATAGATTTTCATTCTCAACGAATTATTCGCGAAACTCGATCGCAGACAAAGAGAAAGATCGGTATTTAGTAAGAGTACCAGCTATTGATCACATTCGAACAATAGTCACTTGTTTCGAATGCTCAGATAGAACATATTTTCTATTTTTGACCGACTCCACAAACCGATCCATGTGAAGTTGCAAAGAGTAATTCTTTTCGATTTGTCTACTTTAGGACGAATTACCAGCACTAGCGGTTTCGAACCAGATAATTATTCGTCCAGATCATTGCGTAGTCTGGCTAGACGAACGGCTTGGCTCATGCCAACAAGCCGAGACAGCAGCTGAACATGAAACGGATCTACCTAATTTCACTTCAATCCAACAGGACAATTCCAGTCCTCGATATCTTGCTCAATTAGAACACGAAATGAAAATATGCTTCTTCAACACACATGAAAGTGTAGAAACCTTTGATGATATCGACGCATGCTGCCAGTATATGATTACCAGCACAGGTACTCAGACAATTTTCTTCATCACGTCTAGTTCATTCGCTGAAAAAATACTTCCATATCTGGCGGAAAAATGGAATTCGATCAAGATCTATATTCTTGGTGACTATGTTCCAAGAGATGTTGATTTAATTCATAACTATCAAGGGAGCATCCAAATTCTTCTATTTGATCTCTACAAGAATCTTCTGATTCGTATTCTGCAAGACATCAGCAAGCATTATTTATCGAAAGGCGTCGATCATGGACATCGTACATCATCAGCTGCCATGTCTGCATTGGTGTACTTTAATTGGGCTAAAGAAACTGCAATTCGGGCAAATCAGCTCTCAGAAAATGATTTTAGAGATCACTTGAATGATATAGAAAAGCGGATAGATGAGACCGAGAAGTTGATCAAAACGACACAATTCACTGATGATGATACAACGCGGCGAATGGAAATGTGTAGTCTCGACGAAGATTCGGATTCTGTGGTAATAATATTCATCGTCGGTTTGGAAATGGAATTAATCCGTCTTGATTCTGGCATCGGGCAGCTTATCACTTGTACTACGAATGCTCAACTTATGTTGGATTTACCAAATCTGAAATCGTTGACTCCAATTCTTATCGTTTCACGTACATTACCATCCGATGACCTACTGTCACGTATGCAGCTGTTGCATTATTATTTTTTTTCAAAACCACAAGAACCGATGCAATCTCTGCCGACAAGTGATCGAAATGTGAGCTACGTATACTCGATCGATCATCTAATGAGTGAACTTTATCACAAGTTGGGTCAGCACTATCGAAAGCATGCTTTTCGAGCGTCTCTTGATCCTGAAGATCAACACAAAGCTAAGCGTTTGCTTCAGAAATCTACACAATGTTACAAGCTGCTCGAGTGTGATACGGAAAAAACATTAAAACGCTATGCTGAAATGTTAAAATAAAACAATTCTAAGACCAATCAATAAAGTGAAAATCTGACTTTAGTCTAAGATGCTACAAAAAACTTCTCATGTACGATTTGACTGGTCATTGATCTCATCAGTTAGTCTTATTTCGTATGTTTCTCAACTGCACATAGTTATTTCATTTTAGTCACAGTATGGTTCCACTATCAGAAGAATTCACCTAATTGAACATTTCTTTTTCTTTGCGTGCAGAAACATTCGGTCTAGAATCCCAAAAGTGTGAAATGCGATGTGATATGCTGATCAGTAAACAAAGTCTCTAAACACTTTTCAAGTGTTCCATTCGCTGTCTCAGACATTTTCATTGTCTATTTTAGATAAACTTAAGCCGTGTACTCGCCCCTCCAGCTCATAATTCAATCAACGACAAACTATGGCCGATATGGTTAGTTCGCCATCGTTACTCGGTACTCTATCCTTTTGCTCCATACTGAGAATAGTTACTCGGATCTCGCATTTCAGAGTGTTTATTAACCAGTTTTCGCTGTTTCACTATCTTCTTCTTTGCCTTGTTGCCAGGATTTATTTTAGCTTTCACATTCTTACTGAAGTCGAGATTACTAACCTAGTGACCTTACAAGAAACGCCACACAAATAAATGCTTTCCTACTGAAATCACTAGAAATTAGATGTGACTCATTACATATTTTCAATAATACTAGGTTGTCGATAAAACGCTAGTGTTCTCTCATATTTCAATACCTCCAGGTCGATAAACTGAAAGGACCTGTTCTTATGATAGATGTGCCAACAGACTCTTTCAAGAGCCTCATTTCCATTCGTTGAACTTGACAGACAGATAGATATCAACGATCTTTCACCAATACAAGCAAACATTCGCCCAGGATTATATGGTCAGCGGAAATGGAGTATTTTCAGATGTTCAGGCAGTCAGAAACTCGAAAATATCACATTTCAACACGTTAATGCTTGAAATAGGCTTTCCACGCAGCTAAAACGCTTTGATGTAGAAAAAGAGGCCTGCCGAAAAAAGTTGATCCTGGCGTATACGTAGACTCAACTGTTTTTATTCTTTTCACCAGAGAATAGTCGGAAAATAACGTTTGTAAATCGTATTATCTCATTGATTCGCCTGATAAACGTTGTTAGGCATGTCAGCTTTGACGATTTCAACTTTTATCATCATCCTACACCTCTTATCTACATTGTTGAGAGAAGTTTCCTAGTAAAATGATAGAGCAACTCTAACTGATCAGAACTCGAAACCCACTCAAACATAGATTCTGTTTTTAGACTACGATCTATGACTGCCTATATCTCAAAGGAGAGATAGACCTTGCTGCTTCACGACTTACGCTGTGTCACCTGCTTACGTTAGGGTGGCGAGATCATTGTATGTAACATTGAGAGATGTCAAGTGAGTTATCGATGAATTACGATCCGTCTGGTCAGTTGATGGACATACTCCTGTTATATTATATCTAGGGTGAACGCTTGCTGCTACGATTGCAGTCAGTAGCGGATTCTAGATATAACTCGTCATAAATGATCTGGAAGAGAGCTCGAATAAGATAAAATTAGTTAAAGATCCATACTACTGACGAGAATGAGGAAATGATCGTATTTCGACAGCAGCAGATGAAATTAGTTTCGAATATATAATCAACTGACGTACTGGCAAAAAATGATTCTTGCTTTTGTTTTAGAATGTGGCGTTAGGTGGCACATATCCACCTCGTTTGTTCGACGATCAACCCACAATAGTGATCTTCGATTGTAACCGTTACATTTTTAGTTCGCCTATAGACTTGAGACCTTTTGATGGTATAGTTAACATGGTTTATACCCAAGCCACTCTTGATCAGAAATCGAGTGAACCTAACAGTTCGTTTGTGGTTGTACTTATACTACCACAGTGGAATCAACCCAGGGTTCAAAACTTTGTTCAACAACATGTCCTTCCATATCCTAGCATTCAAACATTTTACTTGTTCTTTATCGAGGGGCAAATAGCAAATATGGTGGCTGCCTGTGGTGCTAGAGTTCAAGGATGTTTTTCGATCACCAGTAGAATTTTGTCACAGACTCGTCTTGCATGTGCAGAGACAAACGATCTCAATATCGACTATTGTCGCCAACATCAGCATCAATATGAAAATCAAGGTGACATTGGTGTGGCCAATCTTTTTGCTACACAAATGCGTGATCGTGTGCGCCTTCAACTCGCTTACAACGAACGCTTGCAACAAGAAATGGCATAGCAAGAAAAAAACGTTTTCGTGTAGTCAAATACTAGAACATGAGAGAAATATGCCTTTACGATTCACATTATCCGAAAGTATTTTTTAACTACTTTTCACTATTCTTCTACAACACTCTATGCTTCATTCTCATTTGTGTCATATAATAAAATAGATAGCATTGAGGTTTGCTTTTGAAACTTGAAAAGTATGGGATAGGGGGTTCGATTCTGAAGTGGTTCGGGTCCTATCTTACAGGAAGACTAATTGTCACCATGGTTTCCCGTAAAACTTCAAGTGAGAGGAAAGTCAATTGTGGTGTGCCTCAAGGTTCAGTCTTAGGACCTCTGCTCTTCATGATATTCATAAACGATATTTCTGATAACTTGGAAAATTTATGTAAACTATATGCCGATGATACTTGCTTGTATAGCAGTGGGAAAGATCTGAAGGCTTCATCTGACTTCCTCAATCGTGATTTGGCCCGCTTGTCCGAATGGTCCGCTAATTGGCTACTTGAGTTCAATGTAAATAAATGTAAATCTTTAGTTTGCACAAAATCACGACAGCTAAAAAGAATAGTCTCTCCTCCTCTATTATTGAATAGTAGTTTTCTCACCGAAGTTGATGAGCATGTTGATTTAGGGCTTTTGTTCTCACAGGACATGCTATGGACGAAGCACATTGACAAGCCTTGTACTAGTCAAACTTCACTTGTGGGTCTCTTGACTACTATCCATCCCAAAATACAAGACCCGTGGGTATTTTTTGAATAACTTTTGATAGAAATGAGATAGAGACCTGCGATTTTCGCTGTTCAATAGCCAAGACTTGAGCAGAACTTTTCACAAGCGGAAGCAACTTTTGAAAAATTCCAGAGATCGGGTTTTCAGAGGATCTTTGGAAAACCAGCACCGTTCTCAGAAAACTAACATACAATGTTAGTATTTTTTTGCATGCGTAGATAGTTCGGACGTTACTCTACAAAATTATGCAAGTCCCGGCTCTCTAGCTATCGTCGTTTGGGCAAGGCTCGCTGTCCCCGAACACGTGTCTATCTCCGAGCAGACATCTCTGGGAATCTCGAAATGCCATGGACAAAAACAACAAACAATCTATCTACGGAAATCTCAGCATCTACTTCTGCGATGTTCAAAACCAAATTTAATACCTCGATTTTGAAAAACCCAAATAAAAACTACTATCTAAATCCTGATGTCTTGAAGTTTTTTTCACGCGATGTCGAGTAGACTTCCCTCCATTGCACGAAATACTAAAGGAAAGACATTTGCTAAATATCGGTGAACCGGATTTGTGCGATTGTGGCCAAACTGAAAGTCTTTCTCATTACTTTCTTAAGTGTGATATATATAAAATCCTAAAAAGGGAATTGTGCGAATCATTACTGTCTGTTGGATCTTTTAGTCTGGATCTTGTGCTCTTGAGAATTCACAAGGATTTGGACTGGATGAAGTTGATTGCTAGTGCTGTTACAAAACACATCAGAAAAACAAATCGCTTTAAATGATTCATCACTTGTCAAAAAAAAATAGAAGTTTATTCTTATTTTTATACAATTGAATTCCCTCAGATTTGCGTCACCGTTCTCCTACCCCCTCTTTAATTATCATTTACTCTTTCCTTTCTTCATTTTTCTTTTTCTTTTGTTGTCTCTTTTACATCTGTTCATTCACTTGTTGATTATTTCTGTTTTCGTTCTTGAAGAATTTAGTTCATCATTCAACACTTTGTCGACAAGTAAGAATGTTATAATGAGCAATAGCTCGGCTATGCTCTTACTTGTATTATTATTTTTAACAAAATTTATATAAAAAAATAAAAATAAAATAGATTATTTTCGTGTCTCCCACGACTTTCTCACATACATCCAGATCGAACAATACGGCGAAATACGATACCGTCTATGATGATCGTTCACAGTCCAATACAAGCGTGCCACATCAAGTCACACTGATTTCACCATGTATTTTTGATTCATATTCCGATACTCTGTTATCACTTAACTTCTTTGTTGATTTCTACTAGTCGCTCAGCCCGGGTTCTTTAGTTAAGTGTGACAAGAAAGCTCTCCCTGTATCCTAAACTAAACAAAGTGCCAATTCACTATGTGTAGTATATTTAAAATAATGATGAAAAATAGGCTCTATCCAGACTCTGTATTCTAAAAACAGTCTAACACACAGTAAAAAATATATGATTTCTTGTATATATATATATATATATATCCAAAAGAACAAAGACATGTGACATAAATAAAAAACTAGAAAGAGATAGTTAAGGATGATGCAATATATAGACCTAGAATAATAGTGATCACAACTGGACGAGAAAAAAACAATAGATGAACGAAATAAAATAGACGAAATAGAAAAAAAAGAAAATAGAGAGACGAAAAGTAAACTATAGTC